ACAGCTGTGAGGATTTGTCTTTTCTTTATGTTGAGGTACAATCCATACTCAAAGTTGTAGCTGTGACCTTCATCAGTAAGTGTTTCAAGTCCTCTTTGCTTTCAACAAGCAAGGTATGTCATCTGCATACTGCAGTTGGTTGATGAGTCTTTCTCCAATCCTGATGCCAAGTTCTTCTTCAAGCTACTCAGATTATTGCTCAGCATACAGACCTAAGTATGGTGAAAGATACAGACCTGATGTACCCCTTTTCTGATTTTAAACCATGCAGTAACTCCCCTTGTTAATGCCCCTTGGTTTATATAGAGGTTCCTCACGAGCACAATTTAGTGTTCTGGAACTCCCATTCTTCACAGTGTTATCCGTAATTCATTATGATCCACACAGCTGAATTCCTTTGCATAGTCAATAATATAAACACAGGTAAACATCTTTCTGATATTCTCTGCTTTCAGCTAAGATCCATCTGACATCAGCAATGACATCCCTTGTCTGTAAAGATGACAGCCTAGGAAACTCTGGGGCAGTTCTACTCTGTCCTGTAGGATTGCTATGAGTTGGAATCAATTCAACAGCAATGGGCTATCTACCTACCGACCTATCTATAAGAACACCATCAACAACCTATCTATCTATATCTTGTATCAAACTGTACTTACTATTTGGCAGTTTCTCTTTTACTTAGCAAGACATGGTAAACATTTTTAGCAGTCTGTACACAGCAGAGATAACAATAGTTTATTAAATCAATTTCCTATTATTCCACGTTTTAAGTTGCTTTTCTTCTTCTGATATAAATGTTGTGATGAACCTTTGTATATCTCCTTCAGACAAATTCCTAGAAGTAGAATTACTGGATCAAAGGGTAAGAATGTATTTTTAAGACTTTAAAATACATTTTGCCAAACTGTTCTCCAGAACACAGATCCCAATTCTGCCGTCTTACAAGAAGTGTGTGTGCCAGGAGGTGTTTCTGCAGGATAAGGGACATTCCGGGTCAGATCCCATCTGTGGTCCATTTCTCCACCCCACCCCACCTCCCCACTTTCCTAAGCTGTCATATTAAAGGAATTTAAAGCAATTTTAAAATAAGCTTAAGCAGAAAGTAATTAGGCAAGAAAATCTGACACAAATGCTAGTCTATTCTAAAGCCAAAATAAATGACTTTGGGATTACATTTTTTTTCTAGAGTAGTGAAGTTACTTTTTTCCATTTGGACAGGTACTTGGGAGTTATCCATAACTCCTGAGTTAAAAAATCAAAGGTATTTTCCCTCCCTCTTCAACTTTCCTCCCCTACCC